TGATTCTTAATGTGGCTTTAATGGAACACTCACTTTGTTCAGATTTTAATTGCCCCCACTTGTGTGAAATCGTGGTCGTTGTTGTGTAGATCAGGTGGTGAGGCTGCACACCTGGGTGCGGACACATGCCGCGCCAGTCACACACGCCCTATCCTTCCACGGGCCCTCTTGAATCTGTCATGAAAGTAGAGGTAGGTGGGTGAGGAGGAGGAGAGAGTGCAGTTGTGCAGCCTACGTCAACTATCACGTTATACCAACGCACGCGGAGGTCACCGTCCCTGCGCCCATTCTTCTGTGCACCACACAGCGGACACCGACGCCACGATAGTCGAAATGTCGTGTGTGCGTGAATGAGTATGTTTAGGCTGATTGTAGCACACTGATTACACTCTTTCTCCACTTACACGCTACAAACATTTGAAGTAATCATCGGGCGAAGCAGGCCTGCGTCCTCGTTCCCACCCTCTTCATACTATGTGGTTCAACGGGTATCCAAAGCCAGCCAATCAGGTCTTTTTCCGGCTGCAGATCTGCGCCTGGAGACACCACGGAATTCAACTCAAAAATCTACATGAGACATGGGTATTCTACGCCAATTCAGCCAGAAAACTCAGTAAAATCCATTTCAGGTACCGTCTCTAAATCCAAATGCTGAGGTGACAGGACGGGATTCCCGACAAGGAAATCATGGAACTGATGGGAATACTCAGTATCCACACCATGCAGAGGCAACTGCAATTACAATGGAGTGGTCGCCCCGTGGGGATGGATGATGCGCGATTACGCAAACGACCCTTCCATAGAAATGCCGCTATGGGTGCTTTGCGACATGGAGGACAAGCACGCCACAACAAGGACAATCTTAGGAACTCTCAGAAGCGCTTAAAATTCGACAGCGAGTCCTGGAAATACCTCGCGTAGGACCAATCAGACTGTAGAGTTGCAGTAAAAGCTGGAACAGCAGTCTGTAAAGCCAACCAGATCGCTACTGACAAAACCAAAAAATTATCCGGCAAGTCGCAAGAACCCGTGACCCGCACCCATCCCCCCTTCCCCCTCCTAATATGTTCACGCTGCACACGAACATTCTGCGCACGGATTGACCTCATTGGACGTCTTAGGATCCAGTACAATATCAGCCCAACAACCCATCTGCTGCCTTCACAAACGCCCTCACCGTCATCCCTGCACCCACTCCCACGCCATCCATATCGACAACCACCCTACCACCAGTGAACACCCTCACAGTGTCCCACGGCAGGCGGCCACTGATTTAGTAGTTCCTAAATTATCATGGCCACATTGCCACCACACAGGCACCTCACACATCGGCCTGGTCGGTCAGTCGCAAATCCATCGTACAGAGACTGGCGAACCAGTGCTTGGAGCACGTACGCACACCCGCAATCATCACCTCAACTGCCCACGCACATTCTGTAATCGCATGGGTCTACTAGATTACATGCGTCTGTGCGAAAATCTGCGGCAAATCGCCACAGACTAGACTACACTACCACACAAACTCCCACCAAAACGTGCACCACACATGAACACGTCCAGTACCACACACCGGAGGCATTACGTAGGCGCCTTCCAAGCAAGTGGCAAGTCCGTTATTTGACTTCTTCTCCATGTCGCACATTTGCTACATGTGAGATCCGGGCCGCCTACCCCCTTTTGTGTAAAAGACTGGTATGGACTTGGTGGGAATCAGGTTGTGTGTGACATGCGCGGAAGGGCTGTTCCTAACTCGGTCAGCCACCTCTTACAACCTAAGCGTCAGTTGGTTCACCGGTTCGGACAGAAGACCTTTTCACGAGGGAGGGAAGAGTGAGAGTGAGAGGGAGATAGATCGACTCTCAACGCATTCTCCACAATATAAATAATTTGACGCGCTCAATACCTCAACGACAAGCTAAAGGTCAGTGCTGGGATCGCTGTCAATTGGCAAGATAATTGGGATCTTGTAGTCGGCTTAGTGTGTTTTTGTGTGGTGTGGTTGCCAGGTAGACTAACAGTCAGGCTTAAATCGTCTATTCCTAATGGGACCTTTGTAGTAATACCACTTATGTGCAGTCGAGATTATAAGTGCAATTATATACAACCAACACAAAATATAGTCATTTGTAATATGCGTGAAGATCCGAGGTCCAGATATATTACCGTGTCTATCATCCCCCGAGGAAGACGAAGAAGAGAAAGCGATTTCATGGACCAGATTGTATTCAAGCTGGTGTTTCGGAAACTCTTTCGTTTCCATCATCAGAGTCACTAGCTGGCGTTTCCTGCTGGCCTTGATTTGTTCAGCGTTGCCGCCTGCCTCGTATTATAACCGTAAAAAGCAGATTGATTAGGGGCTGTGAACTAGATTCCGATCAGTGATTCATCCTCCAATTGAAATACCGTGTGAGCGAAAGCAACGACAGTTATCGACAGAATGGGTTTTGCATGTAACCCGGTCTCATGTCCGGGTGCATATCCACTGGTCCAATGTATCAATTGCGCTGCATGGTTGCACGCGCGTAGTTAACGAGACTTGAGAATTACCGGCACAACAAGCAATTACTGAAATAAAACTTAGAAGAATGGTCACTCTGGGCGTCGCTCATGTGCGACCGAATAAACGGAATCGTCAAGAGCGCTTTTAACAACGCAATGAAGTTTAATTGATCCCTGACTGCTTCCAGGGAAATGTTTAACCTCATCTATCTTCCAAAATACTCAGGGGAAGGAGACGTCATTGTCCTTATGCATTGAGACTGCGCGGTTAAAGTACATGCATAATGGCGGAGGAGCAAATCGGAGGAATACGAGAGACACAAAAATAAACTTCTCCCGTTCGCTTGGCCTCATCGGCCACCACGTTGGCGGTTTAACTTCGGACCCAATGGACCAATAAAATATAACACGCACCCAATATCAGGCAGTGATAATTTTGCGGTCAGACTAGTTCATCATCTCACCCATGAGATATTCGTGTTAATAGCAATTATCGCCTTTTGTTACTCAGGCCGTTCCCTGTCGACACTGAAACACACAAACATGTTCCACTCAATCTACACACGCCTTTGGTGCAATGAGGACGGAAAGAGGGGATGAGAAGAATTATGAACACGCAATCTTGTTAGTGATACCGATTCTAATGCTGGTGGTCAATGTTTACACTGCAAGACTGATTATTCAGAATAGGAGCATGTGGACATTGACAAACTGGATAATATGGGGGGTGGGCTTTGTCGGACGTGTTTCAAGCCGTCGCAGTCGTACCGGTGGTTATTTGGATTCAGGCAAGTGATGCTTCTCTCTTGACTGACTAATCTTAATGTATTTGTTGGCTTTACTAAGTACAAAGCCTTTCTGTTTTCCTACCTGCTTAACGGCAGACTTGGTTTAAAATCCCAGCCAGTTTAAATGTGGTCAGACTACTCGAGAACACCTGGCCTACTTTATGGGATGTTTGCATTCCATTTTGATGTGTGAATTCGCCCTCTCTATGCTAAATATGATTTTGTATCTCCGGAAATTTGCTGTACCAACGGATTGGCAGAGGCTCTTCGGAAATATTGTTAAACAAGATATTACGATGTTATTCTTGTAGTTATAAGATATACATGTTTTTCAGGCGCATATGACCTACGGATTTTGCCTATCTACACTTGGAGTCCATATTTGTCCGTAAAGTCTACTTCCAGCGTGTTACCGGCGTCAGCCCTCGGTGACACGTCTGTAGGACAAAATGTGCAGGTCATATTTCATACTAGACAGTAGTAACTCAATGAGTCTTGGCAGGTGATTTAATTACTGATCCCTTCTAAGCAACAAATCATCATAGGCCTCCGCACTCCTTCCAGACTGTCCATTCCGTTTACATTTCAGAACGGAGAATGAAAATCAGTTGAACGTTTACTTCGGCTTGAGAAAAAACACTACTTGAATTAAATTAAATGTCTGTAATATAATCCTGAAAACCCGTGCTTACAAAAGCAGTTTATTGCTGTATACGTTTGGTAAGATGTCAGTCGGCTTCTTCCTACCTTAAAATCAAAAATACTCGACAGTATTTTTTATTCTACCAAGTTGTTTTTGCATTTTTGGAGGTCTGTTAATAGCTCCTCACTCAGACTAATTATGCCATAGNTCATTCCTCCTCACAGCTGCTACATGCTCGATCATTCGCGTCCAGAGTACTTTTTCAATTTCCTCGACGTACTTGCTTTGTCCGCAACTGCACCAGGTCCAGGAGACGACTCTAGACGTTTGTTGCCGTGGCAGTGGGTCTTCCGGTTTCATTACCTGGCGCCTGATGGTTGACTCCGGTCTGTTTACAACTCCAATTCCGAGTGGTGTGAGGGGGTGGCTGACGGCTTTCTAGAACTGCATTGTAGGATGCTTCAAAGAATTTTTCAAATGCATCGCTCATAGTTCCTTCGAAGTCTATTAGCCTCGCGTTTACGCACATTCCGCTGTCGCTNGGCATCATTCAGGGGGTAGCTCTTCACATATCGGGAAAATATATGTAAAACATTGGCTCCCCTACATCAGGAACCAGGAAAAATGGTCTGAAATAATCCCGTCTACGCCTGACGCGATAAAGCTTTTAGTAGGTTTGACAAGACGTTAAGCCATCTATCTGAAAATAAACCTTTGTTTACATCGTGTCCCTAGGACATCGCATACTCAGTCATCTAAATCGAAGCGTCTACCAATGTGAATGTTTGGGGAAACGTTTTCCGTTTTATTAAGTGTTCAAAAGCAAGCGAGAGGGTCCTAGCATTTCATTAGCAAAATGTTTGGAAGGATGATACCTTATCACAAATCAGGATCGAATGTTTCTATATTATTGAACCTGTCGTTCCATGCTTATTAATGTTGAAAACTCTCCTCACGTACTATTTCCAGTTGAACGTACTTAAATATCTTCAAGTCAAGTTATTGTTTTTCTCACTGCAAAATGTACATTTTTTGAGACTTCCTCCCTCGATGATTCGTTGACGGCTAAATCACCACCCTAACATGAACTGTCGGTCTTCATCAACGTATTCATTATCGTCATCATCATCATCATCATTGGCGTCGTTATCGTCGTTGTCACCACCAACACAACCACCAAAGCCACCACTACCAGAGCCACCACCACCACCACCACCACCACCACCACCACCACCACCACCACCATCACCACCACCACCACCACCTGTGTTTTCATTCTGTCCCTATGATTCGTTGACGGCCATCGCCACATACAAAATGATGGCTTAATCACCACACATTTATGAATTGCCGGTTTTCGTCAGCCGACTCATCATCATCATCATCATCATCAGCAGCAGCAGCAGCAGCAGCAGAAGTAGCAACATCATCAGACCTTCGTATCCAAGTCTGCTGCTTACCGGCTGTGCATTGACCTGCATTTATGCGCTTGTCTGACAGACGCTAGCCTATCCCCTAAGACCCTCGTCCCATAATAGTTTATGTTTAGACCGCCTCCACTTTACGTTGCAAATGGGGGTACTTAACGGTTCACGCCTACTTTCCTCAAGAACATATAGGCTGAACTGAACTGAACGCTTTTCCCGTCGGGTTGTTATTTGTTGTAAAGCTCATGGTATTGGCACGGCCACAAACATATGTGAGTTCCTTTCCTGTCTCACCATTTACCACGGTTTTTCTGGTTTCCGAGTCAAATTTCCTGATGACTTACACGTTTCCCAGCTAACCCAGTCATCACACACTCAAGGAAACGCCCTTTGAATTCACGGAGTGCCAACCAATCAGCGTGGGAAATTTTGAAAAGAAGACAGTCTCTTGTCAGTTGCCAATCCACGTATTTTCTGCCCCTGAATCCTTCTTCGATGAGCGGTCACGTCCATTAAATTCGTTCAGTTCGTTGATGCACTCCTCCTTTTTTGCCTTCTATATTTGTAAGTAAACTCAATTATTTTTGGCCTTCTGCTATCGCCGCCGACGATCTTTCATCATGCATTCCTTTTACGGCCTTTGAAATAGCACATTCGATGTCGACTCCGACTAGCTCCTTCGATTTAAACCTCCGTCCATTTGAATAAGCGTATTTTCTGCATGGTCTTTAATTACGCCTCATGTAAGTCGTTGGCCATTGACAATAGCAGTTGGTGTTAGACAAGTTATGACAGTCACTGATTAAAAGGAGCAGATGTTACCAACGGAGGCGACATCAGGCATAAAACAAGCTTGCTGTTAAATCCTAATTTCTCAAGTGTACATGTAAAACATCTAATGAAGAATAGGAAAAAGAAGAAACGGATTGTTCAATGAGTAGCCGAAGTAGTTCCCAGACGTTTCGTATGAATTACTACGCTTGCTTCTGAAGACGGATAGTAGCCGACCAAGACTGTTAGGTTGCTGGTCAGTTTAACTCGAGACTACCAAACGTAATATGCCTGCATTAATTTCAGCCTATGCGCGTTCTGGTGAGAACTCGTGCTTCATTTTACTTGAACTGTCGCAAAGTAACTTTTGCAGCAAATTCTCTTGCATCTAGGCGATACCTGTTATCCATGCCGTTCATAAATTAAAGAAGTTGAGCTACGATTTCACGTCCCTAATCGAATGTTAATCTATCTCGCAACTAAGTTTAGATACAGGGCATCGCTCGACCGGGCAGAGAATATGCGTACGTGGTGTTCCTAACACTGGACAAACTTTTCACTGCGGCCTGCCTCTTCCACCAACTAGCAGTCTGGACACTTCGGTAAACATTTCATTATTGTGCTTTCGTTTACCATCTTCTCGCAAATCAACTCCTCAAACCACATTTATCACGAGATGAGGCGTCAGTATTTTTCAGCAGACACTTTTATTTTAAGGTGAGTAGTAATGGACAGTTTACTAGTACCTGCAGTTTCCTTGCGTAGAAATCTCCATTAACTGTTGCAGATAGCAAGGTTACACAAACCACCACGAGACCTGTGTATAGCAAGTTAGACTCAGAGTAGAAATCGAAAAGGGGGTCGATCGGTTCGTCTTCAATAGGCCGTTGGAAATGTTTCTGAGTCGGTGAGGGGATGTGCGAGAAATCCGAGTTTCCAAATTCTAGGGACAGGTCGCCTGCCATTCCCCATTAGATAAATTTTGAGTTTCATCAATTAGGGCGTTTGGAGGAAATACTTAGGCGCACACAGGATCGCGTTGCGTAGGTAGGTTATTATCGCCTTCATTGTAGTTAATATGCACTGCTGTACAGACATCTGATGAACCAGTTACATACTAATGATAGCCCTAAATTATCCAAAGAGTTTTTTCTGTGGTCAATGTCTACCAAGTGGACAAGAACAAGGATAATAATCATTTTGTGGTATATTCTGTCGGTCCCATTCACCTCATTCAGCCAACGTGGCCTTTCCTTCGAGAACGAATGAAGAGTCAGTTGCGCATCTGTCGGATATTGCGTTAAGAAAATCGGATGTTTTCGTTTGAAGATTGAGTACGCGTAGTAATGCTTATCATATACTTGATACTTTGACCGTCATTGCTGACGATGTTCGCCGTGTGCTACACGGCTAGGCTAAGCAGGAACGGCGACTTGTGCGTAAATTATTTTATACTGATAGTAGATTTACACAGCATCTACAGAACTCTCTTACCCTCCCCTACCTGGACCTGGTGTCAGGACCGAGTCAAGAAGACTGCAGGCGGGGGGGGGACGCAGGAGGATGGCACAATTGAGCCTGCACCTTGGCACTCCACTCCACACCCCTGGTCCACACAGCAAATGACGAGGTTTGTAACCAACGACAACCATGGGGGACGGCAGGGATCCTAGGCAGCACGACGTCTGCCGGCAATTGGGTCTGCTACTGCATTCCGAATTGTTAACATTTATTATGCTGCGCAAATTCGATAACGCCTACCGCGATCCGATATGCCCCGTCTTGGTCCAGCGCATCTATCACGTGATCCGTTTGTGGGGCCAAACATACCTAATAAACATTCTATGAATGTCCGAGGTAAAATCTTCAACCCGGGAGCTTGAACTGAGGAAAATTGTAGGAACTGACATCACCAAAATTATCAGTTTGGGAACAGAAATTATTGTGCGTGTATCTAAAAAGATGCACGTTTGGTAATCATTCAGTGGCCTAATCAAAGGTTTCACGTGTGGCGGTCAAGTATGTGAGATCAACTTAAACCACGCACAATAAGTTCGTTTCGTCTACTGTCAGAAGTCAGGGAGCTGTGAGGACTAGTTTATTCTGTACACAGGGCAGGTTGCCGTAAGTTGGCTGTTTGCTTGCAACAGAGATAAGCGTCCGTTCACGGAGAGCGTCAGTCGCGGTGTGTAGTTTACGCGGGAGTGAAAGTCTGTGTCAGTAGGTGGGGGTGACTGGTTGGATGCTGGTCATGAGATTGGACTGATTAGGGGAGGATTAGGGGGAAGCATAATTGCAGGGGCTTACGGGTATCAAGCCAGGTCGTCCGACGCGCATGAGGTGATAATTGTCTGTGGGGGCAGCCGGGGGTCACTGCAACTGGACAGGAGGGGGGGCCCAGTTATAATCGGCGGGGGTGGTTGTGTGTCAGCGGCCTGGCAACGATTGTCGCGGCCATCGACCGACAAAAAGGAGCCGGAGAAAAGGAGAACTGGAGCGGCTGCTACACACGCTTGCTTCCTATTTACGTCTTCTTGACGTAAGTTATGTCGTTTCCGCGAACTAACGAACTACGGCTTACTAACCTCATAAACGGAGAGAGGTAAGGAAGGCCAATAAGTGAATAAAGTTAATATTCAAAATGTGCAACGACCTGACCAGAGAGCATGCAAGCGGCGCGAAGCTTACAAGCGGCGGAGTCTTCGTCACGTTAAAACAAATGCTACAGTAAAACAAACGTGACAAGATTGTCAAAGGTCAGGTAGTCAAGTACTTCAGCACAGTACCCCCCTCCGAGACCGGAGGGCGGCGTGAACGACGCCGGAGGACATACAAAGGTCTAGGAGAAATGAGTAACTAAATGATCGGGAAAGTGAACGTGACGTCCACTGCGGGTGATATATGCGAGAGGCCCTGTTGGAGGCAGCTGAGTAGGTGTTGTAGTGGACAGGTTAAGGGTGGAGGAAGAGGTTGCAGTTTGATGCTGCGAACAAGAAGGAAGAGGAAGTACACGGGACGGAGGGATAGGTGGGGAAAGTGGAAAAGGAGTGGGAGGAGGTATGGGATCAGCACATGCTTGTCCTTGAGACACGTCCGGGGGCTCCTCTGCAACAGCAGCCTTGACCCGGTCGATGCTGACTACGTCCTCTTTGTCACCTCGCAGGATCCGAAAGGTCTTGCTGTTATTTGCAAGCACACGGAACGGTCCTTCGTATGGTGATTCTAACGGCGTCCGCACACGATCACACCGAACGAACACATGGGTGCAGTTGGCTAAGCCTTTTTCAACATAAGGCTCGGTCGATGGAGCTCGAGGTGGAACCGGGGAAAGCGAGCGCATGAAATGTCGCAGACGATGCACAAAATTTTCGGGGGTCTCTTCGGCCCCACGAGATGTTGGGGTGACCATCTCACCAGGGAGTCGGAGGGTAGGGCCGAAAACCAATTCGGCTGCGCTGCAGTCCAAGTCTAACTTCAGTGCCGCACGAATGCCAAGAAGTGCAACGGGTACATTGTCTGACCAGTTTTCGGGATCTTCTGCGGCACGCAGTGCAGTTTTTAGCTGGCGGTGGAAACGCTCAACCATGCCGTTGGCAGCTGGGTGGTAGGTCGTCGTCCGAATACGTCTGCAGCCAAGGAAGTTGAGGAGAGTTTGGAAAAGTGTCGACTCAAACTGCGCGCCTCGATCAGTCGTAATCATGGATGGCGCACCAAATATGGCGACCCAACGACTGACGAAGGCTTTCACAATGGTCTCAGCTTGCACATTCGGTAAAGGAATGGCTTACGGCCAACGGGTATAGCGATCAACGCAGGTGAGAAGGTGAGTATAGCCATTGGATGGAGGTTAAGGACCTGCGACATCTAAATGCACATGGTTGAACCGTGCATCGGGGCTGGGGAACGTGCCCGATGGAGACATGTTGTGGCGTTGAACCTTGTTACGTTGACAGCAAAGGCACGATCGTGTCCAAGCTTTCACATCCTTGTTCAACCCAGGCCATACGAACCTTTCCGCGAGGAGCTTCTGTGAAGCTCGAATCCCAG